TCAAATAAATGCACAAAATCAAGATTTAACAACCGTAGATACTTTGAATAAACCCTTTCGTTACGGTACCAGAACATACAGAGTTGTTAAAATATACAACCCAAAAAACTTAAGAAATTATTAAAAAAGCAACTAAAATTAAAAAAAAAAAATGTTTAAGAAAAAACTAAAAAAAAAAAAAATGTTTAAGAAAAAACTAAAAAAAAAAAAAATGTTTAAGAAAAAACTAAAAAAAAAAAAATGTTTAAGAAAAAACTAAAAAAATAAAAAATGTTTAAGAAAAAACTAAAAAAAAAGAAATTATGTAGAAAAAATTTTAAAAATAAAAATTTCAAAGAAAAAATTAAAAAAAAAAAAGTGATAAAACCCTATTTGTGTTATTGATACGCCGATTCAACATTCTTAAAGAAGCATGAACATAATTTAGTAAAACTTTAGAACTAACTATTTTTAAATCCCTAATTTATATTTTATAAAAAATAATTTTGACTTATTTTAGGTCAAAGGAAAGTTTGGCATCTATCATTCTTTATGGTTTGTATGGAATAGTTGGAATTGGATTTGGTGAAATAGCACCTGTATTTTTAGCAACTGCTAAGAATTATGGTAGACAAAAATATTTAGATATTAATGATTTTTTCTTTTTTTTTTCATACTTTTTTTTAAAAAAATACTGTCATAGCTCAAGACCTACCCCGACGGGCATTTGTTTTTAAAAGTTACGTTCTAAATGTGTTTTAAACGTCTTTTAAACGTCTTTTAAACATTAATATTTAAAAGACGTTTAAAATACATTTAGATCGTAACTTTTAAAAACAAATGCCCGTCGGGACGTTATTTTATAAAGGCTATCAATTTCTCAGCACATGTTTTCAACACAAGTAGGAATTATAGACAACTATCTACTTTAGACAATGGTGGGTTTCGCGGGTAACAGGTGTCAAAAGTGAAAAAAAAAAAACGCAGAGTGTTGCTACATCAAAATAGTTGATGTAGCTAACTCATGTTTTAAAAATATATTTCAATAAAGACACCATTAAATCAAAATAACCTTTAAGTCATTATTATTGAGGTTTTTTTTGAAAAACAATAAAATTTAATGTATTTCCGCATTAATTTAATTGCTTTGACATTTTGACAACAATAAATTTTAAAATGTTGTCGAGGTTGCAAAATTGTAGTTAAAAGAGACTTTTTTTACATTAGTCTTTTTCAGTTATAATGTATCTTATACTGCTAAGTTAGGTGAGCATAATGATGTCTTACTAAAATAGCCTGCTGCCGGGGACTTCAGTACATACATCGACTAACAAATAGCCTGATTTGCAGTGGAGTGCTGCTACATTGACTAAGGGTTTGGTATAGGTCAGCAACCTTTTTATTCATTATTCTTCGTTTTCCCTCATCGTTTTCTCAAAAATCTTACTTAATTTAGACTAGCAAAATAAGTGAGCAATTGCGCATATAAATATGCTATGTATATAAAGATATTTACATATATATATGTATATATGTATATATATTGCTATGTATATAAAGATATTTACATATATATATGCTATATGTATATATATTTATATATGTATATATATATGTATATATATATATGTATAGACATATATATATATATATCATATATATATATATATATATACATATATATATATATATACATATAGTATATATATATATATATATATATATATATATATATATATATATATATATATATATAAATATACATATATATATATATATACATATATATATATATATATATATATATATATATATATATATATATATACATCATATATATATATATATATATATATATATATATATATATATATATATATATACATATATACATATATATATATATATATATATATATATACATATATATATATATATATATATATATATATATACATATATATATATATATATATATATATATATATACATATATATGTATAAATATATATATATATATATATATACATATATATGTATAAATATATATATATATGTATATATATATATATATATATATATATATATATATATATATATATATATATATATATATATATATATATATATATATATATATATATATATATATATTAATGTTATGACTTTTATGACTTTTAAAATGAAAAATTAATTTTTTGTTTCATAAATGGATGAGCTTGTATAAAAAAAACATTGAAAAGATGTTTTATTTCTCTTTGTTGTAAAAAAAGGTTACATCGCTATGCAAATTACGTTTCGTCATTTATTAATATTTCTTACTGCAACTTCTAATACATGTGGCTTTCCTGCAAATCATTTTAAACTTGTTTTGATTAGAAGTGTTTAAAACTTTAGAGTATTTTAAAAAATAACAAAATATTTTTTAAGACTTCTCAAAATTCTAAAACAATATAAAAAAGATCCCGAAAAATTTAGAACATTTTAGAATAATATATAACATTTTGGTACATTCTAGATTAATTTATAACATTCTGCAATGTTTTAGAACTTTTTAAACTATATATTGGTGATCATCTAGTTTTATAGTTAATACAAAAGCATTACCAAGCTAAGTGATAATAGCATTCAGGAGAACATGGATTTCTGGACCATTAATCTGGTAAAATTTGAAGACTCTCATAAAAGAAGAAGAATTGTCTCTTTGGAAGAATATTCACCGGAAGAGAAGTGCAGAATGACTATTCTAAAATCAAATTATCTGACACTACCATTTCTTAGGACCAAAATTCAAAGGAAGATAGGAGCGAATAGCGGAAATTTCCAAATAATTCACCAAATTGTGGATGAATAAACTGAATTTTTCTCATGTATCTGATCAAGTTATACAAGAAAATCTTGATAAAATAGTGAAATGTTATGATGAATGTGTCGAGCGGGAAGCTACGAACCTCTTGATAAAATTTTGATACTACTTAAGTGAATGAAACATGGTTTTCTTCTGAGGACAAGCGATTGTACCATCTCCAAGCGGAAAACAAAAGAACAGTGGGATAATCCGCAATCCAAGCGGTCAGTAAAAAAACAGTTCATCCCTCTAAATGACAAAAACTTTTTAATATGCCATCTATCTCATCATCTTACTATCCTGGTTTTAGTGATTCTGATTATGAGGCTGACGATAATAAATAAGAAAACAATGAAGAAGAAGATGAGATAACTCCTATACCAAGCAAAAAACATCATTAAAGCAAAATTGCAGTCAACTTGGTGACCTCCACAAGAGTATCAACAAACGAAGCTGCTAACATATGCAAGCAATTGGCTCGTGAAGACATTGACATCCCAACTCCATGTCAATCAGCTATTTACAAGACAACAATCAAAAAGGCAATCAAGCTGAAGGAAAAAATGATTGAAAAGTTGAATATGGAAAGCCGGTCTTACACTTTTACGGCAATTATAGACATAAATCTCCTCCATTACTATGATTGTGCGCAGAGCGCACAATCAAAGTAATGGAGGAAATTTATTTATCATGCAAAAATAAAGATAAATTGCACCTTTGATTCCTTCTGTGTATCAAGCAAGAGCAAGATCAACGGTCTAAGTCATTTTTGGATTGAAAATTTATTGTGTTACATGACTATGGCATTTTAAACTCATTTGAATACATAGTAGTATTTATGTCAAAATTGATTTTTCAATGGCGGGGTGAACTTTTTTGAAAAGATATGCAAATAATAGTTCATTTCTAGGTTTTTAGGTAAAAGTTCATTAAACAACAGTACAAGTGTTGGATTGTCGCGTCCATGAGTTGAATAAACAAAATGTATTATTTTATAGCTTTCCTTTAACTTCACTAACTCAATACAAAAACCGTCTCTCTATATATAAAATAAAAAAAAGTCCAATGAGGTTACTTTTAACTACAATTGAAATAACACGTGACTTTTAACACGTTTCTACGTGATTTTTAACATGTATAATTCACCAACATCAAAAAAGAACACGTCCTCTTTGTGAATTAACTCATAAGTCTAATTTTTGTGGGGGCCTTATTTTTCGTCCGGAGCGTGTTACTTGCAGCAAATGTTCTTGAGAAAGATTTTGAACTTGAGTAATATCATCGTGAAATCTTCCTTTAGCGTTATCGGTTTTATCTTTTAGTCTGTAAAAAACATCATTGACTGATTCATTTGAACTCTGTAGATCTTTACGGCAACACAGATGTGAAATATGACGCGGATATACCCAATTTGCAGGTTCGACGTCAAACGATAAAATATTTTGTTTTCGCACTACACCTGGTATCCTTTAGTAGCTATTTTAGTTACTAGTTTACGCCATATTGTGTATCGTGATGGACCACAATCAATCATCGATAAGTACAGTTCAGCACCTACATGCATCAAGTCAATGGCAACCCGATTCCGATTTTTTTCTACGCTTAGATGACCATGCGTCCACTATACAGAGTAAGGATCAATGGAGTTGCACTGGTTACAATTTGCTATTACTGCTGAAAACTCCTTACATGATACATACTGGTTATTTCGCAAGCAAAGTTGTAATGTTTGAGCAACACCAAAGTGACTAATCGAGTGAATTTTCCAAATGTCTTTTTGTTCAGGTAATCCAGCTGCACACACTGTTCTGCACCATTTTTGAAAAATTCGTGAAAGTCGATCAGCCAAATTTATTTCGGATGGAATCCATTGTACTAAAATCTGGATACCTTTTTCCACTTCTTTAATAGTATTTAACCGTCTTTGTACTAGCAATTGAGAAATTCCACGAGTTTTTACGCAATATTCTTCCTTCAAAACTGCGTTTAACCATCCTACGGTGCTCTTGCTATCACTGTATACTGTTAACTCTTTTATGTCCCACTTACTAGCTAAGTTTAGTCCTCGAAGTATCGAATCCAGTTCACTTATATTGATATGGTGTGTGTCACTTACTGGCCGTAGCTATGCTGCGTCTTCAACAATTACTCTACCAATGAGTAGAACTTCCTCAAGTTCTATGGATGGTGCATCACAATAAAGCTCAGCTTTTCCATTCACTGGTACCAACTATTTTTATTTCTTTCGACTTTCAATCCTAAGACAAGTCCTTGTTCAAGATTTTGTGTAGGTTTACATTGTAACCCGAATTTATGCAGATGCTTCGCTACATTTTCCGCAGTTTCCACACTTTCATCCACAAATTTATCATCAATGCAGTTATCGCATGCTTTCTTTAAAGTTGGATTTAAATTGAGCACATGCCGAAGAATTGTAGTCATTATTGTTGGGGCCACATTAGTGCCAAAACACATTCTTCGGCATGTGCTCAATTTAAATCCAACTGTAAAGAAAGAATGTGGTGCCGTTACTACAACGATGTGGTGCCGTTACTACAACGATAAAAACGAAAACGAAAAAAATGAAACAAAATGTGATGTCAAAAATACAAAAAAATACAATGAAGAAAACAAAAGAGAACAACAGGAGCATGAATCGATAAAAAGTCATAACCCTACTGCACACATTTTGATTCTTCATACACTCGATTATAAATAATTCAAAAAAAGAAAAAAAACAGACCTCGAATTAATGCAAAAAAATCTAATTGCGAAATTTTTTTTTTTGCTCACCTTATCCCTCATACGCGCATCTTTATCTTTTGTACGTAAATGTTATCTTGTTAAACATATTATCTCTCATATTTAACTATTATCTTAAAATTTTCTCGTTTGGTGGAGTTTAAAATAAGGTAAATTGCTGTTATAATTTATAGCCTAAGTTATAATTTAAAGTTAATAGTGTAATGAGCAAGTAACGTATTTAATATTATTAAGATATTTCATTTAGTAATTATTTTTACTTAATATGATACTTAAAAAAGTTAAAGTTAAAAAGTAAGAATAACAAGCAAACATTACAATATTTATAACACTCTAATTAGTCATAGAAAAACTTCTTAATACGTTTATGCTCATTATAAAACGTGTTATTTTTAAAGAGTAAAAAAAACATCAGATACCACGTTTTTTATAATTTATTGTTCGTTGATCTAGTGTACAATGAAAATTTAAGTATAATTAAATTTTTATTGAAATGGTTTTTAATTGATGTTTTCCATCAATTTTTTTATTCAAATTGTTTTCCAATAAAAAGTGAAACAAAAAAATTTGGTTTAATAAATCGAATTATATTAAGTATAAGAATATGCTTAAATTATTTTGTTAGAAAATTTTTTTTTTGAATAGAAGTAAAACTTTTATAATTTAATTTTTATTTTAAATTTTGCAATCGCTGGTTTAATGTTTGCAATAGAAAGTTTACTTTTAAAACTATTTTCAAGAAATAAAAAATAATTAACTATTCAAAACGTTTGCAAAATTTACGACTTCGGAAAAAAAAAAAAAACTTTCTTCAAATTCTTTTAAAATTTTCCAATTTTTTTTTTTAATTTGAAATTTCAATCTCAAAATTATTTGAATAAGGTAACTTTAAAAGACTAAAATTCTTTTGTTCAAATAGATTTCTTTTTAAATAAAATTTCTAAAAACAACATGCGTATTTATAGAAAATGTTTAATCTTGATATCGCTTTAAATAAAATGAAAATAGAAAAAAGTGGTGTTGCGTTTTTCATATTCTATTTAACAATTTTTGTTGAAATAATTTTTGGTAGAAGCTTATATTGTTAATTATGTGTTAACAACAAGGATGCGGAGTCCCAAAAAGGACTCCGGATTTGAAAATCACAAAAAGATTACTTTATCCTAGTTTTTGGTACCCAGGAGCTCAAAGAATATAATTAAGTTTATAGACTAGTAATAGGAAAAAATTAAGACTTTTAGGTTAGAGGAACAATCATTTTTTGAACCCGGAGTCCTTAGGTATAATGGCGGCAAGGACTCCAGGACTCCGGGCTTAAAAACAATAAGTTTCAAGTCATTGATTCTCATGAATTTTTTTTGTATAGCAGATCATAAGTCAACAAACATGTTTAGAGCTTCTGGACGCTACAGACTTGAAAAAAGTAAAGATATAAAGCCGGAGTTCTTTTGGGACTGCGCATCTCTGGTTAACAACATATAAGATTTAAATAGAAATATTTGTATGGGTAACTTTTGCGAGTCTTTGAGTTATTATTTAATATAATTGATATGTTAACACTTTAGTAACTGTAAGTTACTGTAGTATCTTAACTGGTTGTTTTGATTTAGTTTATAATTGAACTTACTATGAAGTACTTTATCCATTCAGTAATCAAACTAAATATAACTTTAAAAGGTTCAAGGTCGTTAAAGCGAAAAATGTTGAAGCAAAAAAGTTGCTGGATTCTATGAGCATTGATTAAATAATAGAAAATTTTTTTAATAAAAGTAAATTATATATTTTTAATAAAAGTAAATATATATTTTAACATACTTAAGGTGGTAGTCTACCTTGTAAACTAAATCCTAGAATTATTTATCAAAAAACTCAGTACTTGGTAACAATATAAAAAACCTTATAACTTTATGGAATTTTTTTTTAAATTTGACCCAAACTACAGATTTTGAGCCCAATTTCCTAAAGAACCAAAAAAGTAAAATTAAAGTATTAATTTAGCTTATATATAATAGATAATATAATTTAGATTATATATAATAGAATCAGTGTACCAAATTTCAGGTCTATAGCACTTATTTATTGCACCGTTTTCAAAAATCACATTTTGAGAAAAACAGAAAATAAAAATAAAAACCATTTGTTTCAGTGTAACTTAAACCAATTATTCACAAATCGCATTAAGAAAGCATCATTTTTGCAAAACAGACTGTATCAAATCTAGATTGGCTTTACAAACGTTTTTTTATGACTTAAATTTATATAAACCACTTGAAAAAAAAAAACCCAAACCAGTTAATTAGTAATTGTCAAATGGTAGATATAACAATGTACAAAAAACATTCAAAAAAGACCAGTTTCAAATACTAATCTTTTGGTTTCTTCAAAGACATCTGAAAAACCTTTAGACTGGGGTCTTTTATTATAATTTTTTTGTTAAAGCTTGACTTTTGGAGTAGATTTGTGATTCACGAGCAATTTTTGCACAATTTTTGTTTGTGCAAAAATCTTTCGTAAATTTTCCATTATACATATTAACATGTCAAAAAACGCTCTACTTAATCCCTCATTAAAATTTATGATTGCAAATGAGACACCAATTTCTAAAGTGTCTCCTCGAACAAAAATATACTTTGGACATCTTTTCCAAATAATTCCATTTAATGATTCATTAAATAGAATGCGGTAGTCAATACAATGCTACTATTCCAATGTCACTAGAAATTATAGTTACAACACCATTCAAAGAAGAACTTTCTCGCTTTTACCAGGTAGTATCACATAAAACTGTAACATTTGTCTTGTTCTCATCAAGAAAAAGTGACTTTGATAAATTTCTGGTTAGTATATTATTATGAATAAATACTGCAATTTTAAAAAATCTAAAACTTTTATTGCTTAATATTAGTCAACATTTTAGAAACTAAATTTTAAAATAATTTTAGTCCTGAACTAGTTTCCAATTTAATGGAAGAAAATAACAATACTTATACTGAAGAAAACAACACTATATTTACTTGTATAGTGTTCATACAATATAAATACTATTCAATTAAAGAGCGAATCAAAAGATTTGGCGGACAAGTTCTTTAATAAGAACTTGGAAAGTCGGCATCAGTGGTTACAAGTTATTTTGAAAAACCAAGTCTAAAGCAAAGTAAAATGACCATAACACATGCAGCATCAGCTGCAATAAGATATAATACTTCTAATGATGGTGCAGCAGCTGTAATCACTGTTATAATAAAAGATTTTATTACTGCAGGTTATCTTTCTCCTAATGTATCCTAACCTTCTGTTAACCTAAAAAAAAATCCATAGAGCTAAGAATAATGTAATGAAAGAAAATAAAGTTATTATGCTAATAAATGTAATTAAGAAAGTATAATTGGAATTGAATATGATGGAAGAAAAGACTGGACCCAAAACATTAGTTCTAGGTAAATATAAAAAACTTTACACTAGAATGATAAAAGGTAGCATATAAGTGTAACTTGGGAGCCAATTTGGACGTTACCTTGCTTACATCACGTTTCCAAAAAGACCAACAAAAATATTGATATGTGGAGATTCAACTAATACCAACTCAAGATGGTCAGGGGGTATTCATGTCCTCTTTAAAAAAATGTTAGGACATAGATGCTATTGGGTAAGTTCCATGATTTAAAAAATAAATTAAGACATTTAACTATATCACTTGATGGTTCAAAAAATAACAAGTATGGATTTATTGGATTAGTTTGCAAAAATCTTAAGTTTGCAAATGATATGACAATAAATTTTAATTTTGCATCCCTGCCAGATTGAAAAGAACTTTCAAAACTTGATAAGAAAGGCATAAAAAGCTAATATACTAATTTTTCTGACTTAATAGCATTTACATATCTATAACTGATATAATCAGTTATAAATATATAAATGGTGTCAAGTCAGGAAAATTCTCTCAGGCTTGGTACAACCATAGTGAGTGTATTCTGATTTCACTCTTAACTAGCTCTAACAAAATTGAAAAAAAGTTTGATGTTGACAAAATTTTACAAATTAGAGAAAATAACGAGTTAAAAGGCACTGCTATTTGAAAAAAAAATTATCTAAAAATTAACTTTGAGACAGGTAATCTTTTTAAATTAATTTTTTCGAATCTAAGAAATTGTTATAAACCAATATTTACATAAAATCTTTCTAAAACTGACATCTTTAAGTCCTTTAAAAATCCATTAAAAGTTTCTAAAATCAGCATTTACACTCTAGCAACAGAATGCTGCGTCAAGAGCATTACAGAACCAAATCCATTTGCATATGTCCAAGAAAGATGGATTCAATAGAGCTAGAATGATGCATAGAGAAGAACTTCCCGCCTTTAAACTACCTAAAAACTAAAAACTAAAACAAATACCAACAAAACATTTTCAAATTAAAAAACACAAAAAAGAAACTCAAAATAAAATTTAATTTAAATAGGAATATGAGTATGCACTTTGAAAAATAGTGTATTTAACAAACTATGGAACCAAGCAATACTACCTATTGCACACACATTTGTATCTTTTAACTTTAAGTGGCAGTTTTTATTTTCTGTGAATCATAAACTAATAATAGCAATAACTTGCAATAATAATAAAATTTGACTCAAAACGTTTTTTGATAAAGTTTACTATAATTTCTGGAACATTTGTATAGATTCTAATCTGCCAATTTTTTATACAGGTGGACTTGCCATGACTGTGTTTGAACTTGGAATTTTAATTTTAATCTATAGTATTATTGTTGTCATTGCACAGGTTTTTACAGCAAAGGTTTGTACTGTTTGTAGTCTTTTATGTTAATTTTATTAGTGTTATTTACAGTTGCATGTCAGTAAAAATCTTACTAGTAAAAGGATTTTTGTTGTGGTAACTTCTTTGTAAGTTTTGTTTTTCCGAAATTTTTTTGAGTAATAGTTTTGTACTACTTTACAAATAATTTTATGAGTTTACTATATATAGTAGAGTTGTTAACAAGGCTAAAAACAGCAAATCTAAGGTCAAGGCCACGGCTGCATGTTCCAAAGCCAAGACCAAGGCCAAAATTTTCAAGGCCAAGAGTTTCAAGACCAAGGCCATAGTCAAGAGTTTTAAGTTCAAGGACAAAAGTTTTAAGTCTAAGGCCTATGCAAACATTTTCAAAGCTAAAGGCTTATATTTTGGCCTTACTTTAAGGCCAACTATTAACAACTACAGATAGCAAGTGCTGTTACAATAAAACCACATATTTTGAAATTAAACCAAGGTTATGAACTAATGATGTTATATTTTTTTGTGTGTGATTTGTTTTTAACAAATTTAAACGAATAAAACAAATCAACTTTTTGAGAAATTTTTTTTTAGTGACTTTTTACATTAAATTGAAATTATTGTAATTTTTTTATTGAATTGATTAGAATAAGTTTTAATATTATTTATTCATGCAAGTTTTTGATATTCTATTTTTTTTATTATTATCATTTATTAGTTTTTTAAAAAACTTAACTCGATATTACTCAAATATACATTAAAAACGTCTGACAATGGTAAATAAATGTTTTTAAATCTATGGAGTAGCTTTTCTTAGGTCTAACAAGTGCCCTTAAAATAATTATTCATCTTAAAATCCAAAATAAAAAAAATACTACTGTTTAGTTATAAACCTATTCTGCCCCACCGTGTCATACAGTACTTTACATTAGTGCAAAATTTCAAGGTTTAATCTTTAGTAACTAAAAAATATTAATTTTTGATCCAAAACAGACTTTTACATTCCACAGTGCATTCTTGCAAAAGACATTTAACTTTGATGCAGTTTAAAATTGAAGAATTTTTATTTTTTCATTGAATAATTATAAATATGTCTTGCATTTAATTAAATTAAAATTGTCTCTTAATTATAATTACCCCTTTTAATAAATTTTCCTGAACAATAATTTGAAAAATTATAAATTTTCTTGTTTCTAAATATTTTAATTTTACCTTTGAAATGTTTTAGCTGCAGTTTTTGTTTGGATCAAAAAAGGTTTGTTTTTTTGTTTGAGATTTTATTTTACTATTTATTACATCAATGTTTTAACAATAAAGAAATAATGAGTATTTGTTATTTCTTTAGAATTAAAAATTAGTTTAACTTCATAATTTCCTTACGCGAAATAATTTAATTATTTTATGCTAATTTGTATGTATATATGTATGTATGTATGTATGCATGTATGTATGTATGTATGTATGTATGTATGTATGTATGTATGTATGTATGTATGTATGTATGTATGTATGTATGTATGTATGTATGTATGTATGTATGTATGTATGTATGTATGTATGTATGTATGTATGTATGTATGTATGTATGTATGTATGTATGTATGTATGTATGTATGTATGTATGTATGTATGTATGTATGTATGTATGTATGTATGTATGTATGTATGTATGTATGTATGTATGTATGTATGTATGTATGTTGTATGTATGTATGTATGTATGTATGTATGTATGTATGTATGTATGTATGTATGTATGTATGTATGTATGTATGTATGTATGTATGTATGTATGTATGTATGTATGTATGTATGTATGTATGTATGTATGTATGTATGTATGTATGTATGTATGTATGTATGTATGTATGTATGTATGTATGTATGTATGTATGTATGTATGTATGTATGTATGTATGTATGTATGTACAGGGCCGGTCTTAGGCCGATTTGACCGATTGCTCCAAATAGGGCCCCGCGCTTGGTAGGGGCCCCGCAATTTATAGCGTATCATTATAAATGGCAGTAGTTTTTTATTATAAATTTTTATCAATCTTAATATAATTCGTACAGTTAACGTTGAACGTTTAATGCGCATCGTAACGTCTATTGTTATTTTTAGTTTATCTTAGTTATTGCGGTATATGGTATAAAATATATTAGTTTCCAATCTACTTTCGAAAGTTCCAGAAGTACTTATTTCCGAAAATTCACGAGGCAAGCAATGAACATGGCGGCAGCTTTTATATTGTTAAAGATTAAGCTGTATTTACTTTTGAAATGTTTGTAATATATTTTTTGTTTGTTTATGCTATAATTATTTTTTATTTTGTTTACTATTAGTTTTATTTACTTTTGTTTAACACAAACTTTTCTCGCTTTTCAGTAAATATTTTATATTTAAGACAATATAAATTTTATTGGATAATTTTAAAAGTACTTTTTTTTCAAGTCTAATAAATAATCTTAATATTAAATGTTTGTTTATTTATATTAAGATATTTGCAGTAATCAATTGCTTACATTTGTTAATTTTGCTTTTAATTTTGGAAGGGGGATTTTTTGTTTATTTTAGTTTAATTAAACTATTTTATTTTATTGTGCAATTTAGTAGTAAAAAAAGAGATAATTTTTTAGTTTTGAAGAACACAAGCCAAAATATGAGTAAAAGACAAAGGGACGTCGGTAGAAAATATCTAAGTTGTAACATGAAGAGAACCTTAGCTAAGGTAAACAAAACTGAAGCAGAAAAAGAAAAAGGTGCGTTAGATAAATATTTGAGTAAATCAGTAGATCTGTTTGAAACTGAAAAATCAGACAAACAAGTCGAGTCAGACGACAGTGAAACAAATATTTCTAAAGAAATTACATCAAAAGCTAGTAGTAGTTTTCTTTCTGGATGTAATGCTCAACAAAATACATCTGAATTATGTATAAATATATCTGTTAACACACACAAGGATAATGAGGATATTTCAGAATCAAGAGAAGAAAATTCAAACCCAGCACTATGTGATATTTTAAAGATAAAAGATGACCCTGCTACATGGCCAAATAAAATAAATCAAATGTCAGAGATTATTTAGTGAACGAAGGACCCCCTAAGATCACTGTAGAAAACTTTCCGCAAATGAAAAAGGGTTACATTTTTCAAAATTTCACTGTAAAATAAAATTAAAAAATGGGGAAGTTATAGAACGACCATGGCTAATATATTCTGAATCATTTGATAAAGTTTACTGTTACTATTGCAAATTTTTTGACACAAATTCTGATTCTGCACTTGCTACTTCTGGATTTGACAGCTGGTCAAATATTCATACAAGATTAGAGGATCATGAAAAATCAAAAAAACATTTGCAATGTACACTTAATTGCTATGAACTGCAGCAAAGGTTATCTACTGGATTAACTGTTGATACTTTAAATGAAAAATTAATAAGACAGGAAACAAAACGCTGGAAACAAGTCTTTGAGCGATTTGTTGGTTCTGGATCATATACAGAAAATTATTAACAAAGACATTCATGATCATTATTTAGGCAAGACCATACAAGATAATATTATTGATACTATAGGCCAAGCTGTTCTACAGGAAATTATTGCTAGAATTAAGTCGGCATAGTATTTTGCAGTGATTCTTGACTGCACTCCTGATATCAGCCATCAGGAACAGATGTCAATGGTGCTAAGATATGTCGCTGATGGCACACACTCAGATGTCCCAGCAGGAATTTATGAACATTTTATAAAGTTTATTATATTTATTTATTATTGAGAGCAGCACTGGTGAAAATTTATTTAACACTCTTGTGAAAGAAATTGAAATGCTAGGACTAGATGTTGAAAACATCAGAGGATAAGGGTATGACAATGGAGCTAATATGAAAGGGCACAATTCAGGAGTGCAAGCACGACTTTTGGAAAGAAATTCACGAGCTTTCTATACTCCTTGTGTGTGCCATAATTATAATCTTGTTGTAGGAGATATGGCTAAAACGTGTTCAGATGGCATGACATTTTTTGGAACCCTGCAGCGTATTTACACCCTTTTTGCTTCATCTACAAAAAGATGGACTGTTTTTAAAAAGCATGTGAAAGGCCTGTCTGTTAAACCATTATCAGAAACAAGATGGGAATGTAGAATGGAAAGTGTTAAAGCTGTACGATTTCAAGCCGCAGAAGTGTGATGCTTTAGAAGAACTAGCAAAAAGCACAAATGATGTTGAAGGGAAAAGTGAGGCTGAATCATTAGTAAGCCAAATGACAAATTATAGGTTTCTGGTTGCACTATGTTTTTGGCACTCTTTATTGTTTCAAGTAAATTTCACTAGCAAGGAACTTCAAAGCAATACAATAGACATTGCCGCGGGGCTGACATCTTTTGAAAAATTGTTTGATTGGTTGAAGACATACCGAAACACAGGCTTTGTAGCTGCATTGATTGATGCCAAAGAGCTTGCAAATGAGTTAGAAGTTAAACCCATATTTCAAAAGAAGCGCTGTTACAAGAAAAAAAAAAAATGTTTCTTTATGAACCTTCTAACGAACCAATTTTAGACCCCAAGCTAGAATTCCGGGTAATTTTTTTCAATCAAGTTGTAGACAAAGCATTGCAATCTCTTCAACCACGGTTTATGTAGCTGAAAGAACACCATAAACTTTTTGGATTTCTATATAATTTTCAGAATATGTCTAAAGAAGATCTCAGAAAACATTCAGCCGACCCAGAAATTGCTTTGACAGACATTACAAAAAGTATAGAAGGGTTCATGCTTTCCGAAGAAATGGAGGCAATTAAGCCAATACTGCCCGTTCAACAACAAAAACCCAAAGAACTCTTTAAATATTTGGCTTGTAATGATAGGTAGATTGCATTTCCAAATTTGTTCATAGCCCTAAAAATACTGATGACAATTCCAGTTACAGTCGTTTTCGGTGAAAGAAGTTTTTCAAAACTAAAATTAATTAAAACCTACCTTAGGTCACTAATTAACCAAGAACGACTAAACAATTTGGCACTATTATCAATTGAATCTCCTATAAGTAGAGAAATTAATTATCAAAAAATTGTGAAAGATTTCGCAAGCAAAAAAGCAAGAAAGATCCACTTTGACTTATAGATTATTTGTTTATTATGGCAATAACAAGAACTGTTTTGTTTAAATTCATTGTAATATTTTTATTATTGTTTATTGATTCGTTTGTGGAGTTATGTTTTTTTCATAAATGTGTTTCAATAATTTTATTAATAGTAGTTATTGTAAAAAAAAAATCAGGTGGGCCCCGCAAGCATTCGTTAAATTGGGCCCCGCAATTCGTAAGGCCGGCCTTGTGTATATTTGTATGTATGTATGTATGTATGTATGTATATATGTATGTATGTATGTATGTATGTATGTATGTATGTATGTATGTATGTATGTATGTATGTATGTATGTATGTATGTATGTATGTGTGTATGTATGTATGTATGTATGTGTGTATGTATGGGTGTATGTATGTACGTATGTATGTATGTATGTATGTATGTATGTATGTATGTATGTATGTATGTATGTATGTATGTATGTATGTATGTATGTATGTATGCATGGATATATGTATATATATATATATATATATATATATATATATATATATATATATATATATATATATATATATATATATATGTATATATATATATATGTATACATATATATATATATATATATATATATATATATATATATATATATATATATATATATATATATATATATATATATATATATATATATATATATACGTATATATATATATATATATATATATATATATATATATATATATATATATATGTATATATATATATATATATATATATATATATATATATATATATATACATATATATGTATATATATAAATATATATATATATGTGTGTGTATATTTATATATATATATATATATATATATATATATATATATATATATATATATATATATATATATATATATATAAATATATATATATATATATATATATATATAAATATATATATATATATATATATATATATATATATATATATATATATATATATATATATATATATATATATAAATATATATATATATATATATATATATATATATATATATATATATATATATATATATATTTATATATATAGATTCTGTTAATAAATAATTTTGAATCCTTTACGTTTTTTAGTAAAAAAAAAAAAAAATGAAAGAATAAAAAAT